GTGTCACACAATTAGCATGCACTAGAATTCATACTCTCTAGTGCAAACTAATGGATCGTGTAGCAAAGCCCTTAGTCAGAATTCAGCAGTTACACTGCAGTGCCAGTAACCTTAAGAACGAAAGTGACAGTGCATTAATTATACAGACAAAAACCCATTCTTAAGCTACTCACTGTCACCATTGCTACCATCCATCCTTGTGCCCTTATGCAGAAACAGCAGCTTCATTCAAAGGATTTATAGCCTAGAAAGAAGAATAGCAAGAAATACTAGCACCATCACAAGTGGAAATAGCATATCTTGAAGCTCAAATCTTTTCTCCTAAACAAACTAAAGAGAGAGAGGGGGATTCTGAGCTGGGATGAGTAGGGAGAAGATGAAGCTACTTTTCCCTTTGCCAGGTTAAGATCTGAATAACATTAATTTACTTCAGCGAATTAGTAGCAGTGAAGAGTAGACAGCACAAGGGCCATGAGCAAACAATCCAGGAATAAAGTCTGGATTACAGCATCTCGTTTTCAAAGATGACATAATGAAAAAGAAAAAAGAAAAACAAAGAAAGATTTGGACAAATATCACCTAATTAATCTAACTTCAATTCCTCGTGGAAAAATGGAGAAAACGGTAAAAAAAAATATCTTGGGTGATGCTCAGACCCCATATTTTGCTATTGACTTCAGTGGTGTCAAGACGGCACCCTTAGATTGCCATGAGCAGTAAGAAGTACACCTTTATTTTTAAAAAGTATTGCCAAACAAATAACAAAAATAGGGTGTGAAATATTACATCCATAATATCTCTTTTAGTCATCCATTTGATACATTAAGCTCTATTTGGGTTTCACATAATTTTTGCACTGGTGTGAACTCCAGTCAAATGAGTAGAATTACTTTTGATTTCAGTGAGATCAGAATGAGGCCAAATGTCTATCCCAGGACCTAACATATTTAAGCAACTAATAACTTTGATTCACGGATTGCTTTGATTTTTTTGGTATCCAACTTTAAGAGGTTTTATTTTCAGAAAGCACTTGGCAGCTATGTGTGAAAATTAGGCCCCTTTAAATCACTGAAGTAGGACATCCAAAATCACTAGGATTTGAAAACCTAGGCCAAAGTGCCTAAATATTCAACAGCAGTTGTACGTAGGGAGGAGGTGACATAGGGATAGGGAATTTCAGCAGAAAACTAACACATCCTTCAATGACTTCTGCATGATGTTTTAGGCCTGAGCTGGTATCTTACCTAACTCTCAGAAATGGGTTTATTCATACTGACAAATCAGCAGTACAGAGATCCAGACAATCTAAACCAAGAGCACATTCAGAAATACTGAGAATTCCTTTGCCCTGGGCCAAGAGTTTGAAGAAAATACAACAGATGACATTAAAATCAAGATAAAAATATCTGCTGGATATGGGTGCAAATGAGTGACTTTTTCTCAATGTCACTCATTATGAAATTTGCAAATGATTAACAAGACAAATGAAATAGTCAGAGAAAATACTCTAATACTAGAACCCAAAGGTGACGTGTGTACTCTCTCTCTCTATATATATATATAGACGTGGGGACTTGCTGAGAATTTGGAGAACTGCTTCATTTTTAACTGAAAGATTTTGTGGTAAATACTCATTATTTCCAACTTTGTGTCTCTTCAGAATGTTGTAACATTAGAGAAATGATTCACTAGGGGTGCATCTACACAGCAAAGTTATTTCGGAATAACGGCCGTTATTCCGAAATAGCTATGCGAGTGTCTACATAAAAATAGTGTTATTTTGAAATAATTTTGAACTAAGGGGAGGCTTATTCTGACTTCTGTAAACCTCAATAGAATAACGCCTATTCCAAAATAGTTATTTCAGAATAGGGGCTCTGTAGACATTCCTACTGCTATTTTGAAATAGCCTCTCACCAGGGCCATTCTAACTTATTCCTCCCCAGTACCTCCTGGGGCTCTAAATTGAAATAGCACACTACAGTAGGGAAGCCTGCCTCAGACTAATTTTGAGGCTTCCTAGCAGTGTAGATGTGCTATTTTGAAATAAGCTATTTTAGAATAACTATTCTGGAATAGCGTATTCTGAAATAAACGTGCAGTGTAGACATAGCTTGGGTCAAGTCCAGAAGCGGAATGGAGTAACGACTACAATAAAAAAAGAAACTGGCAGATGGAAAAAATGGTGAGGGTGATTTAATTTCCCACTAACAGTTTACATGCCTAGTTCTCAAAAAAAGCAATGGGAGTTGCTGACCATAAATACCTTTGAGGGTCTGGACCTAGGTGATACATGGATTCAGAGAACATTGGAGCTCTTTCATGTGAAATTAATGTTGTATGTAGTTAGGCTTTTTATGCCAAAAAATGGACTGGATGGGGAAGGGAGTCTAGAAAAGAAGGAAAGAGTAGATGCTGGCGGGTTGAAAAATAAATGGAGAAGCCAATATGTTGCTATATTGTTTTATTTTCTCTAAATTGTAAAGTAATTTGAGAAGGCTGTAGACCTCTCAGTTTAGAAATGGTTTCTTGGGGTATGCCTAGACTACATTCCTCTTTTGAAAGAGGAACGTAAATGAAGGAAATAGAAAATGCAAATGAAGTGCAGATTTAAAAATATCATGCTTCATTTGCATAATTGCATCCGATTGCTTTTTTCAAAAAAGGTTATTTTGAAAAAAAAATCAGTCTAGACGTGGTTCTTTCGAAAAAAACCCCACCCTTTTTCAAAAGAGGAATGTAGTCTAAATGCACCTTAGCTGCCCAGCTTGGATCTCAGCATCCCCACAATGTGATCATGATTGGGTCCAAGATCGCTGTTCTCAATATCATCCAGGAGGATACAAGAAAAAGGGGATTTGCTTGTTAATCATAAAAACTATTTACAATCACAGATTCTATTGTGACATTGAGTAAATTACACATCCTAGGGAAATGCAGGAGAGTAATATCCCCTGCAGCAGGGTTTGCACATGAGATAATGCCATATTTCTCTATCCCTGATAAAAACCAGCTCAGTTATATTCCACTCAGTTCCTCCTTCAAGAAGGAAGGACTGCTGTACATATGCATATTTTAAAGCAACATCACTAATATGAAAGATTAAATTTAAACTTCCAGACACACTATAGTGGAAATGTATTAGAGTTCATAATAAATGGAGTTTTAAGTGTTCTGTTTGTTTTGATAATCCAGTCCTAAGTACATGCAAAAGAGCTTACCACCCATTTTGGCATCAAAATGGGAAGCTTGATTTTCAAAAGGAGCTTACTTAATACACTAAATGCTGAGCTATTTGGAAAATGGAGTCCTTATGTAAAGGCCCAAAGAGCATGGTGTTATACTGAATTCACTACACCCTTTTATGCTTGCACACTGCTTTCATGTGCCTTCCCTGGAATATTTTCTACCTCTAAAGGCATTCTTCCCATTTCAAATTTTCTTAGGGTTGTGGGGTTTTTTCCCCTCCTGCATGTTACCCTGAAGGACTCTTTTACATTATTTCCCCATTAAGAGCCAATATATTAAACTGGAGAAAAAGTCCACTGGTATATGGTCCTGTGTGGCTGGAGGAGTCATTTCATTTTTGTGGCAACTTCCCCTTCAGATAGTTGTGAATCTATTTATCTGTCTCAGGCATAATGAAACTTAATTCTGCCAGAGGACTTTTGAGTATCACAGTCAGATGCACAAAGGTGGTGTCACTGTATCCCTAAGAATAAGCTGTTTTTCACTTCCTAAGGAAGAGTGCTTCTGCCAGCTGAGCTACAGTAGTGTCCTGAGCACTGCTGCTATAATTAGCAATTGTTTTAAGAAATTCTGTACAGGTTTCTCCTAACACACTTCCTCCATTTTAAGCAATAAATGCCTTGGGCCTCCTTACCCTGTCAGCACTACTGCTTGAATCTGCTCCATCAACCCCCTCCCCAAGCAAATCTATCACCTCTGCAGCATTTCCTGATTTTCACCTCTGACAAAGCCAGATCACCTATGATGGAACACAGCTGACATTTCTTCAGAAGGTGCTAGTGGGTGCCAAGAATAACATAAGGGAGATCGCAATAAGCCAGTGACAAACCCAGGTGCTGACTTTGTCAACACCATGCATCAGGAAGAGTTGTAGCCTCCTGGCAGCAGACACCAGTAAAGGTACCTGGATTTAGTATTTTGAATCAACTAGTTCCATTTCCAGAACTAATTCATTTAAATCAGGGGTACCCAACCAATTAGACACCAAGAGCCAAAAGAGCTGTGGATAGTAGTGCAAAGAGCCACACATCCCACCCCCACAGCCAGGCATCCCCAACCACATGCCTGCCCCCTACCTCTCAACTCTAACCCAGTGCCCTCCCCCAGAGACAGGCACCCCTAGGCCTCTCCCCTTTTAACCCAATGCCTGGCTCTCAGAGATGCCACCATACACTTTTCCCTCCAGGAACTGGGGCATGTGCACAAAGTGGGCATAAAACCCTGAACAAGCCATAAGCCTGAGAGCCACATCTGTCAGCAAAGAGCCACAGGTTGGCCATGCCCATTTAAGTCAATTGCATGAATGCTGATTTGATTAGGCTAGATTTTGTTTTCTACTCATGGGCTACATCCCTTTTATGAAAGAGGGATGTAAGTTAGACATATCACAATTGCTAATGAAGCAGGGATTTAAAATCTCCCCTGCTTCATTAGCATAAAAATGGCTGCCACTCTTCCCCCCCCCCCCCCTTTCCCCGCACGGAGCTTTGCTGGAAAAGAGCACCAGTCTAGATGCTGATCTTGTGGAAAATAAAGCCTTTTCCGAAAGATCCCTTATCCCTCTTAGGTGCTTGACAAATTCATGAAGGTATCAGTTGCTTGATGTTTATTACTGCTATGTCTGCCTACTCTTGCCATGGGAATAAAGTGAGTCAGTTAATGCACACCCTGGAACTACTCCGATACCTCTCCGGTTTAGGGCCCCACCCATGAGCTACTGCTATGTTGTATAAATTCCAACACCACCAGTATTTCTAAGCCATTGAACATTTTATTGAATAGACACAAGAGTTCAGGTTAGCTGTAGCATGGCTTTGGCATAAAGTCTGACCAGTCTTGAGTGTCACTAGGCAGACTTGTGGCACTTCACTCCTTGAACTGAGCCAGTTCTCCATAACTTTGGGAGTCGCAATCCATTACGGAGATGGTGTTTCTTCATGCTCTTTCATAGACTCTTGTGCTGGTAACAGTGTTCATAGCACACTCCTAGAAAGACAGATAGTGGAAATTCACGTTAGGCAGCTTGTCAAGTGCTCACTTTAAGTGATAGCAAGCTTCATGGAATACTTCCAGTTCCTTTCAAACAAATTGGTAGGAAATAGCCCATTCTGAGAGCTGCATGCTTATATTCAGAACTGTAGGTACTCAAGGAATTCAGGGGCCTCAGATCCCTGTTTGGTCTCCACTTGGGACCAAAGTAACAGCATGCGTGTGTGCGTGCACACCCACCCACCACTAGAAAGGAGCACAGGCACCATTTAATGCTTAGCAGAGGAGCTGCCCCATGATGTTTGTGCCACCCTATAGTTTCAGGAAAAATTCCCTCTTCCAGAACCCAGGAGACAAGTGCAGGGAGAAATATGGCAGGATCACACTGTCAGTCCAGCAATGACTATACCACTGTTACAAATAAGGAGGTACCAAAGGTACCAGTCAACATGTTAACTATCATGCTGAGAGGATCTTAAGTAGAGCCATTCCAGCTTGTACAATATTTACCCCAAATGGACAAGTTCTAATGAAAATTTTGTTCCTTTCAATGAAGATTTGAGTTTTGGCCTTTGCCCACCCATTGCTTCATAGCGCTATGTATAGATTTTCCCTCCTCTTCAGTTTGAGGGGGACATTCTTTCTAGCCTTTTCTCTGCCTACACCAGATCGTCATCTTTAACCCTCCTCAGTCTTCAGGTGCAAGTCTCACTAGCTTGGAAGTGAGTCCCAGCTCCCATTTCTATCATAATTCACATCCTTCATGTTTCCATCCCATTGTCTTATTAGAAGCCAATATGGAAGCCATGCTGCATTCAATGATTAAATACCAGGCATTAACTCACCACTACCAGCTTCCCGTCCACCAGTTTTCTTGTTAGAGTGGTCTCTTTTCCATTCCATTTCTGCACCTGAATCAGTGAGCCATTTTCTAGGGTTACAGTGCTCTGAAGAGACAAGGAAACAGTATTGCTCTTCGGTCTGTCCCTGCAGAGATTTGTCCACAAGTCTAACACTAACCAAATCCAGTTGGTTGAGTATGGTTGTGGTTCTGCAGAACGTGTGTGGCACTGGTCTTTGTGGTCAACATGCCAACTTCAAAGGCAGTTTGGAAATTCCTCTCCTTCCACAATCCCAGCTGGTTTTAAGGAAGACTCACCTTAACTTTCCTATCATCAGCCGTGGTTTCCTCAAACTCCTCAGCCAACTTGAAAGAGATCTCTGTATTTTTGAAGGTACTTTCTGTTCTGATTGTTATCACATCTCCATTGATACTTATGCTCACATTAGGCTTGGCCACACCAGCCATTTTCCTGGTGGCAAAGCCTACACCTGTAGAACAGACAGGAGGCTATTACATTATCTATTCACTTCAGAACATCTTACTACCTATTTTCAGAGACTGCAGGAGACCAGTGGTTTAGAGTCTTTAGGGATTGGTCTCCATGAGAATCTGCCCCTTGCCCTTTATGTTTCAGTAATCCTGTGTTTCAGAGGCTGCCTGAAATGTCTGATAAAGTCATTCCAAGCCCAGCCCACGGAGTATGGGTCAGGATTTTGCAGTTGAATGTCTAAGATCCAAGAGAATCCTGGTAAGTCCATTTAAAAAAGTGCATAATTTATAACCTCAAAGAATATTAACACTAGTGATTTATTTCCTCCCCCCAACAGTTTATTATAGAGCCTGCTGAAAAGCAACTTTAAGTTTTAAGAAAGACTGGCAATATTAGTGGCCTCTGTATGAGTCAGGAGAAAGTTTTCCAGGGTACTCATCTCATTAAGAAAAAAGTTAGACAATTCTGTATGAGAATTCTATTACTGGTCTAAGTTAAAATCTTGTTCGATTACCGTAAGAGTCAGACTCTCTCAGGTAGTCTAGGGGAGAACTAAGAGCCTTTAAAGCCATTTTAAGCCTAAAACTAGGAGTTTTTAGAGAAGCAGGTTACCAGTCAAGACTTCTCCAGCTATCTAGTTGGGAGTCCTAGCAGCTCCTTGATTTAAAGAACATACAGAGGCAGCCCCTAAATCAATCCAGGTACCTAACAAATTCCAGTCAGCCACAAATTCCTGCATTCCAATAGCAACATAAGATTATACTTCAATGAAATAGCCACTTCAACAGAAAACCAGATTAGACAGGTGTTTAATTACTGACTTAATTATAGTCTCAGCATTCCACTGCTTTGTTTCCAAGAGGCAGAGGCACTGATTCTACCCCAAACAATAGTACTACTGAATTATTATTTCTAGATGTTAGTTATGCAGTGATTCAAGGAATACCATACCACTCCTTTCTGTTCAATTCCTTCTGGATTAAGCCTGACCACATTAACCCAAGCAGCTAGTTTCCTAAAGAAATCTGCAGTTTAAGACTGTCTGGCTAAAGCAATGTAGTAAACGGGGGGGGGGGGGGGAAGACAAAAAAAACCCTTGAATAGTACAGCAAAGCTCCCAGAAGCAGGAAGAAGAAATCTAGATACAGTGCAAACTCACTATTCCTTCCTTAAACAGACACAGATACAACCACAGCTAGCCCCACATAATATTCCTCACCCAGCTCTTTCATATAGTCCTCAAAGTTTTCACTGGAGATGAGTTTCCAGGTACCCACAAATAGATCACACATTATGTGAGTTTGGTTCAATAGGCTTCTGCAGGAATTAGCCAAAACTCCTCACTCACAGACAGGATGGTAGTATGAATTCCCTCAGAGCACTAGCCCCTAAAAAAGGAGCCTTGACCATGTGATCCTCTGGGATGACCAATGGTGACAAAGACTATCAAGGATTCCAATTACCAGCATTTCTCTTTTCCTTCCTTTTCTTAGTAGGTCATAGTGTCATTACTCCTTTATCCTCATTGGCACATGGATCACTGCATTGTCAGCATTGTGTGGTCTTTTGCATTCCCAAAATAGGCCACATTCAAGAAAAACATTTTAAAAAGCAGTTTGTTTAGGAAGAGAAGTCTGCAGCTTTGGACCTGCTGAATGGGCTAACTCATGGTGCTCAATAGGGTTAAGCACGTGTAAATTATTGCAAGATTGGAGTCTGAGTCATCTTCTGTTTAGCTGATGTTGTTTGCACCTGCTTATACCTTGCTAAGACCCCAGGAGCAGATTTTTGCCGTTTTCCTGAGAGTGAATGTGCAGGAATGGTTGTCACTACTCATGTGATCCTGTTGCTAGTTGCAGGATCTGGGTCATAGTTTAATCTAACCCTCCTGTTAGGGTTGCACAGCTATTGAACTATATTATATTGTTTCTATCCATGTAATTCTATTGCTAATTATTTTATGTGTTAAATGCCAATGGTGTGCTTAGTGTAGAACGTGACAGGAAAGGAGACAGTGTCCCTGCTCTCACAAATTTGTGCCCAAATCTTCAAAGGTATTGAGGCACCTGAATGGAAGATAAGTACTTAAATATCTTTGATGAGGTAGGCCTTACAATCTAAACAGATGGACATCAAAAACACACTGGTAGAATCAGGAGAAGGTTGGATTAGAGAAGTATATGCTTCCTTTCCCCACCTCTTATTGTATTTCCCCCCTCTTTATTAAACAAATAGAGGTACAGAGTTTAAGACCAGAAAGGAGCATTATGATAGTCTGACCTTCCACAAAACACAAACAACAGATTTTACCCAGAACACACAGGCTACGTCTACACTGGCATGATTTTGTGCAAATACTTTTAACACAAGAGTTTTTGCGTTAAAGTATTGGCGCAAGAGAGCGTCTACACTGGCATGTGCTTTTGCGCAAAAGCATCCGTGCCAGTGTAGATGCTCTCTTGAACAAGAAAGCTCCGATGGCCATTTTAGCCATCGGGCTTTCTTGCACAAGAAATTAATGTTGCCTGTCTACACTGGCCTCTTGCGCAAGAACACTTGCACAAGAGGACTTATTCCTGCGGGAGTGTCATAGTTCTTGCACAAGAAGCACTGATTTCACACATTAGAATGTCAGTGTTCTTGCGCAAGAACTCGCGGCCAGTGTAGACAGGCGGCAAGTTTTTGCGCAAAAGCAGCTGCTTTTGCGCCAAATCTTACCAATGTAGACACAGCCACAGAGTACTCCCGTGCTTCATGTTAGAAGTGACTTTTGAGGAGAGAGAAAAGAGGGGAGGTGCCCAGCAGACTGGCATAGGAGAGAGTTGTGGGAATTGGGAGACCTCATTGATAAGACTCCTTTTCAAGCTGGACTTCTCAGAACAAACCAGGCAGCTGCTCTTTTTTCTGGTGAGTGTTGGGTAGTGGAAAGTATGATATCCTGGGGCAGGGAGGAGAGTTCATGTCAGTTAAACTGGTACATTTGTGCAGCGCTAGTGGGCTAACTAAAAGGGTTCTCCAGTGAAGTTCCTGCTCTTTGTTGGTTTACGCCCTGATTCTGTAATGGGGCTCCTTAGCAATCCATGTGTCTGACCAGATATCCCTTCCGCTGCACTGCATGCATAGGCTGCACTCTTCTCACAATGTGCCTTCCAACATGTGCCAAAGGTCAGTTGCTATAGATCTCTCCTGGCTGGGCTTCCAACAAGTCTTCATTACTTATAGCTTATAAAGACTGAGCGTTGTTTTGTTGTGATGATCACAATCACAAGCATTCTTAAATGAGCTAATTATAAAGCAACATTGATTTTAAGATGGTCTTGTTAATTTTTAAAGTTGTGGAAGGAGCCTGGTAATATATGAGTCCTAATACCACTTCCTTTCTTCCCCCTCTGCCCATCTCCCCACCGCCACTTTCCTATTGAGCAACATTTTGGCATATATCTGTGTTCTAACACCACCCACTTTTAGAAGTTCCACGATTGTGGCTTATATCAGCGAAGGGGTGGTCAAGTGACTGGAACACTGGGACCCAAAAGACTTGGATTCTACCCTCCGCTCTTCTACATTAACCTGCTGTGTAATCTTGGGCAAGTCACTGTGCCTTTATTTCCCCTCTCACCCTTTGTCTTGTCTATTTAGATAGTCAGATATTTGGAGCATGGATTGTCTTATTATGTGTATGTACAGCACCTAGCACAATGATATCCTGGGGCACTATGTCTAAACAAAAACAATAGCTAATGTTAGAATTAGGAGGCAAATGAGCCATAGTGGCAAATGCTGGATCCTCTTCTTAACTGCCCTGTGAAGCTCCAGTGTCAAAAAGCAGTCCCTAAGCCAGTGGTGTCAGTTCCCAAATATTCTTCTGCCAGTGGGAACATTTTGGTGGTGCAGAGCCATTGGGGAAGCTAGAGCTGGGCATTTGGGCCCAAGCATTGGTGCTGGAACAATGTGTGCAGAGAGTCATTAAACCAAATCATATAAATCCTGTACATGAAGGAAGCCATTTCAAGTCAGGGGGTGCTGCAGCATCCCCAGCACCCTTAGTTCCAGCATCTACGGGCCCATGTGCTTTATAAATAACATTATTAATGCAATATTATTAGGAATTTAAGCATTTAGCTTCTTGAGCCTTCACAAGTCCTTGTGCTGCTCTTGTCTTGAAATGGCCTTATTTGTTTGTTTGTGGAAAAGCTATAGGTTTTTAAAAATCTTTTACTGTATTTACTGACTGTCAGTTTGCACTTAAAGAAATCAGACTAAAATTCTGTTGACTGAAGTCCATGATATTGTCCTGATTTGTCATCCCCGAATCTCACATGTTCAAGTCACCTTTAAAAACAGACTATACAGTTCATGCTATTTTCTTGTCTCCGAGAGCTGCTTTCTTGCATGTGCCTACCCAGCAAACCCTTACATTGTGTGACCTGTTCCTGAGAACTTGGAAACTCAGCTCCAGTAAAAAAAAAAAAGAAAAGAAAAGAAAAGAAAAGAAATGACTCTGTGAAAGAACTGGGTGAGAAATGTTGTAATGTCTGGCATTTAGAAAAGATATGCTCTAGTTGAACTTTGCTCCTGGAGCCTCTGACATAGTCTGTTATTGGTCCTCCTAGAATATCACATGTTTGTGGTATTTTCAAAAAGAAACAGTTGAATTTCATAATTCACTCCAGTTATTTGTCTCCTGTTATGTGCTCTCAAACATGTGACCTATATCCAGGCTCTTGGAAACTGGCCTCCAGTTAAAACTTGATGGTTATATGAAAGCATGTAGTAAAAATGTGTATGAATTTAATGTTTCACTTTCTTTTAAAAAGTTGTTGCTGGTTTTAGTTTTCATTGCCGCCAACAGTGTGCCCTAAAAGATTTCTTGCTGCCTCTGCTGCTCTCTGCTTTGTAGCTCTAGTGAGTGGAAATAAGATTTTTAGAATAACTAGTTAAAATGTTTTTGGAAGCAAGTACTTGTGTGGAATTTTAAAAGTCATACTTTGCCTTTTTCACTGCTCTCAACTACCTTGAAGGGGCTGGTGGGAATTCATTCTTACGTGTGTGTACATACTTCATCTGAGCGAGAAAAATGGCAACACAAATTCTCACTAAAACAGGATTTTTCTAATTATAAAAAAAGCTAAAAACCTGAAGACTAAATTCCAGAAACTGGTAACATGAAGGCAGAAGCATGGCTTGTTCTGGCAGTTTATCTTGGCCTTATGGGGCTCAGATGATCTCTCTAGGGTTGTTACTAGGACTGATGAGTTGGTGTATGGCTTGAGAGGGGGAGGTGGTATGGGGTCTTGTCTGAAAAGAAAGTGGAAAGAGTTTCTCTTTTGCAGGACCCTCATCCTAATTTTAGTTTGGTTTTTAAGCTGGGACTAATTTCACTGGCCCTGATGACTAAAGTTAGTTCCTATTTTCTCTAAACCACCAAAATCTAAGGGAGAGAGAAAACCGGAACTTGCCTAAATATTTCAAAGTGGGGTTGGATGAGAAACCAGCACTCTCCTATACCTTATAGAAAAACACATTTTCAGTTAGCACTATGACCTGTAGTTTTCTGCAGCTGGTGGACAGCTCAGTGTGTAGGAGGAACAGCTTGCAGATAGCATCTGACTACCGCTGCAACACCACTATCTGTTTGAGCTAACTATCACAAATAGCTGTGTGGGAAGGAAAGCGGTACCGTTGAGTGAATGCTAACTGGGTATCTCTGTTTACTCAATATTCTGTAATCAAGTTGGAAAGTAGAAATAAAGAGTCTTTAACACTTCATCCACTGCTATTCAGCAGGTCAGTTTTTATTTTTCCCACTGGACATTTTACCTCCAGGGTTTTGCACCACTATCCATCATTTGTAGTATCTCAGGGATTGCACAAAATCATTAAGAAAGTCTCCCAATAATCCCCTTTCTGAGATATACGCCAAAGTCTTTCCAGAGTTTCAATTCTGGAGAAACAAAAAGGCAAACCTCTCTCAATTTGCTACAAATTACAGGACTGTGGTATTTAGTATGCACTGGAGGGATGTTTGGAATGAAGGCCTAGATGCCAGGACTACTTCAGACTTTCCACAACTTTTCTTGAAAAGGAAATATGCAACAAAGGCTCATTTCCTCACCCATTTAATTAAACATCAGGAAAAGCTAGCGAGGCAGTTGTAGAATATAGTCCTAATTAGGAAGAAAGAACCTCCCTATTGCAGATGCCAAATCTTGAATTACCTAAACAAATGTGATGTTTCGATCTCTTGAATACTGGTGCTTCTTATCTAAATCTTCAGTTAATTTGCCAGGTACAGGAGCCAGGCTACATGTTTAAGGCCCAGTCCCCCTTGAGTAAGATGTAGGGCTTGTCTACACTGGAAAGCTTTGTTGCCAAAAACTCCTTTTTAGCAAT